GCTGCACAATTCACTCGTCCGAGCACCTGAATTCGCCACCCTAATAGCTGTAAGTTGAAAAAAGTTGGCCCCATCTTCGAACTTGTGATCAAATGCTAGCTTGTGGCCAGCCTAATCTTATGCAGTGGCAGAGAAAACTGCGATTGGAAATAGACTAGCATGGCCACCATGCTCACCAACTGGAATAGACCTCATTTCCTCGCCACTGTGACAAGGTTCGACTCTTTTCAGCAATTGGCGAGGAAGCCATTTAACGACATGTGAGTCTCCTAAATCCCACCAAGTCTCCGATGCAGGAGGAGGAGTTTTGTGGCCCACAGTTTACGTTGGAACCTGCTGGGTTGTTGTAGTGCCACTGCAGATAAGGTCGACCTTAACTTCACAAGCAAAGGCTGGGGGCAAACTGATGAGGTTTTTGTTATTTGAAAAAGTAAGGAACTTCGTTTCAAGGATCCTGCGAAGTCGTCGACACCGGCGGACTGGATGACGGGGGCTGGAAACTGAACGCTGTCGGTAGGATGCACAGGATTTTGCAAGGCCATGGCTTCTTTCTGTAATGCGGATGGATGTATAATCTGTTCCCTTTTCGGATGGATGTGGAACATGTTCCATTAAGAACGAAATGTTGTGGTGACCCTAAATCCCCTCAGAAATCTTGTAGGAATGTGCAATGGAGTTGCTTGGTCTTAATGCAAATTTTAATCATATGGGGAACCATTCCTGAGCGTATACACAATGGCGGATTCGTTTTTGTTGTCAAATTCACAATCTTTGAGTTATGATATCGTCCTTTGATGTTACCCAATTTTCCATTTAGCAACTAGGATTTTGTTTAACTGATTGAAAGTTGTGGTTTTGGTCTTACATATTGCTTATGGTACTTAATGTGCTTCGAGATCAAAGTATGAGCATAGATATATTCACACTTCTAATATTGGGTTATTCTGAACTCCTGTATATCTATCATTGCTAGGAAATTTAATATAGCAATGAGAATCACTAGTTGTATTTTGAAAATTCATTGGGATTTGTAAATGGTTTATGGGAATTTCATTAAATTTTTCTCATTTAACTCACTGCATAAAATATGATCTTTCTACTTCATTGATAGTGCTACGTAACTTCCTAAACTAATCAAGCATAAAAAAATTGAATGAAAAAACTTGTTATATATTTAATTGATTTCACTCTAAGAGAAAAAAAATTCTACAAATTATTATTTAGCATATCAACAAGCTTAAGGCTTAAATTTTAAGAGTTTAAGAATGTTGGCATTTTCTTAAGGAATACAAAAGACCATATAAGCAAAAAAATTGTAAAGAAATACAATTATTTATTTGAACTAAATGGTGATAAAATAAGGATCTTTGATGTTTAGAAAATATATACGGGGTTGCAGACACGTTTGCGACAAAATGAATGATTTAATACATTTACTATCGTACTAAAAATATAGATATCAGGAACATGAACATTAAGATGATAATTAATAAGGAACGTATATATATATATATATATATATATATATATACGTAAGATAATTTTAAAAATCACTTACGATAAGCATGTTCTGCAATTTTCGAATTCCAAATATTAAAATCATATGGTTTGTTGGTTACATTAGTCTTAGATTACTTTAAAGCCCAACAATTATTGAAGGACATGCTTTAATGCACTGATTGATAACATTATTGCTACAATAAATACTGGTGCATTTAAAACAAAAAAATATATAAAAAATAAAAAATAATCAAAATGTCTATTAACAGTACTCATAAGGAAAATTTAAAAAATAATATTTATTTTCAGAGAACAAGATAAAAGATTACAAAAATCAAAATTAAAAAGAACCAATGTATTTGTACTAATGTTGGAGTATGTAAGAAAAAAATTGGGTTTCATATTTTAGTATTATTTTATTGATGTGTAATTTCTTAAAAATGATTTTAGTTATATTAATGTTTTGTATAATGTGGAATATATGAGTTGCAATTATTTGATACCGACTATAAATATATGTACTATTTGTACTCAAATAGTTATTGGTTATATATATGCGTTTCTTTAAAATGTCTACACTTTTATATATAGTAAAAAATTATATCCATTACTCTTTTTTTTGTAGTATCTTTCAAAAAAGTTTAGTACTATTGAGGATGAACAAAGATAAAATTTAGCAGATTGACGAAAATTACAGAAGATATAAGCATTGCTTAGATAGTAAATTATTTATTTGATTGGTTTGTATCATAAAATAATTTGGTAATTATTTCTTTTATCTCATTGAAAATAAGATTTTACAAGCGCGTGCAATAATTAAGGTACACTGATAGAATAGTTTTGCTTCTAAGTTGATTATTGAAGTCAGGTTGTTGAATACGAATAAATTAAATGTAAAAGTTATAACACTGTTGTTTAAAAATATTAATAGGAATTGTTTTTGTTGTATAAAAAGATTATGAAATTAAATTGAGACATATGATATATTTTATGCATGCTGCTAAGAGACATTGAGTGATTGTAAAATATTTGTACAAAGAAGATACATGCATATGATTAAAAACTGTATTATGTACAATCATTATTAATATAGAATGTAATGATAAAATGTAAGATGTGCATTCAAGAATAACTACAAATTAATTAAAATTTAAAATATTTTTTTTAATATGAAAATTCTTTGATTTATGTTTTAAAAAAAAATATTTAACTTTCAAAAAGAGTACCTCTTGGCTTTTTTCTTTTTCTTTTTCTTTTTAGTATATATTTATATGATGTTTTGTAATTAAACTGGAGATTTGCTATGGTATAATATACTGAAGTGATTTAGTTTTATTTGTATTTTTTTAATAGTCATTCTTATTGTAGACGTATTAATAAACAAAGTTAATGTATTACAAGAATCATTATCTTTATTTGTGTTGTAAATTAATATGTTAAAATTATTATTTCTATCATAAAATATTGGCAATTTTCATATAAGAAACAAAAGTAAAAGAAAAGAGAAATATTAGTAATTTAAAATAATATGTAATCACAAGAGATTACTCCACAACTTCTGAAATAGATTATTGTCTTTTTGTCAAAAAAATATCAAGCTTTATTATCATGTGTATTAATGTTATTAAATTTTCAAGAACATAAATTCAAATAAAATTTTCAAAAAGAATAAATTCTTGTAGAATTGAGGGGAAAAGTAAAAGAAATCAAAAAGTTTATAAAAATATTAGAATAACTATTAGAAATTTTGTCTATATACAAATCCTGTGTGGAATATGTTAGTTTATTTGACATATTTAATTTAATCAAATACCATGTGTTTAAGAGTATTACATATATATATATATATATATATATATATGTATTTTTTTCTTGCATACACACACGCACACACAATAAATAAATAGATAAATATATAATTATTCATACATACAAATACATACACTGTGCTGGTTTTAAAGCATATTCCACGAGATATGGTACTGTGCTAGTTTCATTTCCAGCCTGCCTGAAGAAAAAGTGTTGGCTGAATAAATATGTCTTCATCTCCAAGCCTTTGCCAAATTCCATCTGTCACCAAAAGGATTCTATTGCAATCATCCTTGGATATTCAGTTCATCACCAACAAGTGGGTCAAAATGGCAAATATTTGTGGAGGCCCAATGATCCATTTTTTTGAAACCAATCATGTAAAATGTATCCTCAAATATTTGGATTCTCACATGTGGGTTTAGGATCATGTTAAGATCACAGGCATTTTCTAAGCCAACTCAGGCAAACATTTCAAATTATTTATTCTTTAAATAACATATTGTACTTCAGTAAATATTGTTTAAATGTTGTGTGATGCTTGAATGATGCAGGTTGATACCATGAACTTCATGTCTTACTGAAAGAATCTACCCTTTGAGGGATTTGAACAGTTCATTTAAATGTGTGATTCAATAATCACCTGCATTGTTTACTTCAAATTCAATAATGGGTTTGTGCTCTCAGTTTTTGAATGCCAAAAATGGACATGCTGAGGATATTATGTACAAGAATTATTGTACATTATGAGATTATCTTGAATTTAAAAGAAAACTATATTCTTTTTAATTGAAAACTATTATTGAATTTTCTTGTTGTTTTTTCTTTTCTTTTCTTTTCTTTTCTATACTTATTTTTCGAAATTCAAGGTTTTAATTATTTGATAAAATTTGAGTGTAGAATTTTTACAGAATTAAATAACACATCATTTAATTAAAACAATCATAAAATACAATAATGTCAAAACAGATTATGAATACAAAATACAATCACTTTTGTGGTTGCAGATATGTAGCTATAAGTACACTCACATGCATGTGTATATATGTGTATATATATATATATATATACATATACACACACACACAACACATCACATCACAATGTTAAGTTTTGATGACAACTTTTTCTGTCACTTTAAAGTACGTTAGCCTCAATGAAAATATGATCCTCATTCTATGCTCTTAACCATGCAAAGCCTTCTGTAAACTCAAACTGCTCATGTATGTAGAATTGTGTGGTCATATACATTTCCAAAACTTGATAAAACATTTCCTCCACAAGAAAAGAAAAGAAAAAACTTGTAAAATTATTGAAATACCCAATAAAAATGCAATTTAGAAAATTATGAAGATTGGATGATGTGTGATGCATTGTGCACTTGACACTTGTCAGATGGGGGCAGAAGCACATGGTCCCCAGACATGGATAATGGGTTCAAGAGAGAAGCAGGAGCTAGGAGACAAGGATTCTGGAATATGACGTTTGCACAGACGGAGAAGAAGAAACACAAGAGATGGACAAAGCAGGGCTGATGGTGACAATGCCAGCCTCATGAGAGCACACAGAGGACACGCCAGATCCCCAACCCACCCACATTAATGGTCCTTTCCCCTTCAGATCATCGGGGCTCAAGTCATCGCGACGCTGCTGCCTCGCACACGAGAGCCTCAAAACGAATCTGCCGTCAACTGCACCCACTCGCGACTCGCGCTTGGACCCCGCCGCACCCCTGCCTAACTTAGCCCACCTGCAACTGGCCATCTTCTCGTCCAAAACCCGACGTGATCGTGAGAAATGACGAACGAATGAGCATCGGAGCGAGGTTCAGCGAGACTGAAACCTGAGGGGAACGCCGTCGATGGCAGCACGCGGGAGGAACGGGAGGGGCTCTGCCGAGCCGCCTCCGCCTCTATCATCAATCTCATCTGCTGCTTGTCTGTCTGGGCGTAGAGTGCTTTGTTTTTTTGCAGGCAGGCGACGGGGCGTCGACCAGGAATGTGCAGTTGCGGACCAGCTAACGCTTCCGCTGGAGACTTTGCTTCGTGAGCAGCGGTAGCTAGGATCGCCCCCCCGGGTGGATCTAGCATCTGCCAGGCTCGGCTTGGGAGATTTGGTTTTTGTTCGCGCCCGGATTGACGGCGTTGTGGGTGAGTCCAGGGGTGCGAGCTCCCGAGACCTCAGTTCATGTTGAGTGGACGGATACGACTCTTTCCGAGAGGTCAGCAATTTTGTGAGGTTGGATGGCGGTGGCGGGATTAGGCGGTGGGAGAAAAGCCGGGTGACAGGATCTGCGCGTGGGTGCGGGTGACATAAGACGGGGGCATATCTCACAGTTTACGAGAGGTTCAGTGTGTGGAGAGATGGCAGGGGAGAGGCGGTCGTGATGGTGATAATAAGGATTGAGACTGGTCCGTTGGGTATGGCACTTGGAATCTCGGGGTCATGTTGGACACGAGGGGTGGAGAGAGGGAGAAGGTGAGCGGTAGTCGAAACAGCTGTGTGGATGCTTTGACTATTGATGGCTCTAGGAAATGGTTTGTGTTGCTCATGTTGTTGGTCTGGGCAATAGTCACTCACGTCTACAAATGTTGCCGATGTAGAGTTCACTCCCATGTGGACGTTAGGAGCGGTAATCAAGTACAGACCCATGACCCAGTTGTATCAGGTCTATTAAACACTCTACGTCTCTTTCCGCGCTAAATTTGTTCCGCTTCGAATCTCCATACCCAACACCTGGAATCGGTGTTACTAAGCTGCATACCCTACCTCTCTCAGTAAAGGCAATGGAGCAGATTTATAACCTCCTACAAAAGCATGTTAATCCTCTACCCGCGAATCTTCAAAATTAAGCAACACCGCCTCAGGAAAAGGAAACCCATCGGACTCGCTTGCCCAGTCTGCCTTCACCATTTATTTTCCATTTCTTCATTCTGCCGAACTCTTTATTTCGGGGAATCAACACTGCTCGGGTGCGGATCTTGGGTTGCGTTGGGCGTGCCTGTCTACATGATTCCGTTGGTAACTCTTCGTCGTGAAGCGCCCCAATTGGCCCTAACCCTGCTTTCCACCACCCCTGTTTCGCGGTTTCGGTACTCTTCCAGGACAGTCTAGTGTTGCTAGTGAAGATTCCGTAGGTGGGATGTGGTGTGTGCGTGGCGTAATCTCATAATCTTTGGAAGGGGGTACACCTCGGCCGTGGTGATTGGGCTCTTTCTTTCACCCTCGTGAGAACCCAACAAATTAGCTGCAGAGAGGACGATGCGTTGTAGCTTCGTGCATGTGGCCATGGGTTGAACAGCTCGGAAGCTGTAGCGGTGAGGTTAGGTCTTGGAATTGTTATGGCAAGACCCATGCGAGAGTGCGGCCTGCTCAAGGCCTGCAATTCGGGTCAGTGGGCAAGTGGTCCGAATTGCATATTCGAGTGTTGATCTCTGGGTCGTGCATGTGGTGGGGTTTTGTGTCGTGCCAAATCAGTGCATATCCTTAGACTGGAATGGGTCCCACAGGGCTTGATCGAAATTCGCCCCCGTCGTCAGGTCTTTGTGGTGCACCGGCGGACACAGAATTGGGGAGCGCGTAGTGGCAAGGCGTTGCGTTTGCATCTGGTGCTAAGATCTGTGTGACTGCGACTGTATGCTTATGCTGTTCACGGTTCATGGACACGTAGTATTGTAGCTGTGGGATAGCGTCTCGCGTTGAGAGGATGGAGGTTGAACGTGTGGTAGGAGCTGGAAGGACTGTATTGTCTTCATGGTGTGGAATGGTTGTACTGGATTTGAGGGGACAATCTGTTGTATGGCAGCTTCCGTGATAAGTCGACACGGGCACTGAGTTGGAACTGATGAGTCCACGAGCACCTGGTGAACATGTGAAGGGCTGTTGGATTTTGCGCATTGTCTTGGTACAAGTGGGCTCACGGTGCTGGAAGGGGATTGTGGATTGGAGCGTGCAGGAAGGCGTGAAACAGGTGTTGGAGGAATCGGGGAAAAGCGGAATGAGTGCAGGGTGGGTTGTGGCAAGGTGTCGTAGTAGCTTAGGGAAGGAATCAGCTGTTGGCTGGTTTTAGATCCGGCTCATTTCTTGGAACAGGTATCCGTCGATCTCGGCAGAATGCAGCTGTTGACACGAATCGAAGGGGTTGTAATGGATTCCACCTGGTGGAACAGCTGCATTATTACGGACTCTGTATCAGGTGAAAGAGAAAGTTTGAGTAAGGCGTGGGTGCTGCCACTGGTCGTGACTGTTCAGTAGACATAGGACCCAGGGCGTCAAGGCAGCTGCAGCAGGGAATGGGTTTGTTTGAGGGCTGTATTTGAGGGGGCAACGTCAGCAGCGCTTGGATCCCTCGCAACCGGGTGATGTCGCGCAGTTTCTATGAGTTGCATGGCTTGTGGTGTTTACAGAAGTCATGAGGCATGATTGAGTTCCTGCACAGTTGCCAGGACAGCAATCCGGAGACGGGCAAATTTGATGCGGGCATGGTGCGGGTTCTAGGCTGCTCTTGGATACACGCGTCTGATGCAGCGTTGGGAGTGCCTTGCAAGAATGTAGCTTGTCATGGTGTAGGAGAAGGATAGACCTGCATCCAGAGTGGTGAGAAGCAGGTTTGAGTCCCGAGAAGGGGAGGTGAATGAGGGTACGCGTCCTGGATGCACAGGCATTGAGGGAGGAGTGAGCCAGATTGATGACGGAACTTTCGATGTAGGATCGGACCCGGCGCATCGCAGGAGCAACAATGTGTGGTGCAATCCATCGATTGCTGCGATTGTGTGACGAGAGTGAAAATGCGTGGTTGTGGCAAGCCTGAGATGTCAGTGGTTGTCTTCCTTTAGGGTTTGGAGATCGAAGGGGGAACGGCTTCGGGTTGTTGTGGTGCAGCTCTTTTGGTACTCAAGCTGGTTCGACGCGTCGGTGAGTGTGGATGCTTCATCTCGTGGCTAGCGGGTAAGCAATGGTCCAGTGAACGTAGGTGATGTGATGTTGAGGATTACTTGTGCATATGGCAAGAGTGGGAGGGGAAGGGCATTGGAGAGAGGATTCCGAGAGGCACGATTGAGGATGTGATGAGGAACTCGGCATCAAAACTTGGCGGCGACGGTACGGAGGACTTGAGGATGGCACGTTGGGCAATAGCAGGAGGCAGAGTGGTGAATCTCGTGGGTCAACTCTGAGTCGGATTGAAGACAGGCAGAGGTGCGCATCTGGGGCCACATGTTTTGGAAGCTAGGTGCTTGGTAGCAGCTACGGCTGAGTTATGAACCAGGGCTGGCATAGGGCTACGCATGGATTGTTGTCAATGCTTGAGGATGTTCACATTGTTTCAGGACAGGGGCGGATGCAGTATTGGTTGTAGAGGCGGAGGATTCGATACATCTTCGTCGAACGGTCGGTTCGATATGGTGAGCTACGAGGTGGATAGTCACTTCGTGGTGGCAGTTCATATCCAGACCGGCGATTGCAACGTGGGTCTTTTGTCGTGAGGGTGTAGAATACACAACAGATATGTTGTCTGGTGAGTGTCGTGGCGTTATGCTGCACAGAACGAGTAGAATGTCGGAGTGGGGCGGAGGAACTGGGAGGGAAGCATCCTGATGCTTGCGACGTCGATGTGTACACCAGATGGTTGGAGAGTGGAGAGAGAGGTGGGCGGATTATTTAGATTGAGTAGGAAGTGCAAGCGAAAAGCGGATTGGTTCATTATGGCATGAGTGTGGGGCATGCATCAAAGTTACTGCCGAGGGCGGCAGTAGCGTCAGTGTTGGGTTGGCCCTTGGACTCATCAACGTGCAAATGCTCCATCTGGAATGTTTTGTTGCACCCGTTGTGATCTCCCGCAGAAGCACATGCATTGGTAGCTTGAAGTCGAGGTTCTGATACGGTACGCTGGTGTGCGTTGTAAGTGGTATAAACGGGTCGTCGAGCAATGGGCTTGTGGTGGCACTCGGTTTATGTAGAACGTTGACACTCCGCGAAGGATTTTGAAGTATGGTGTGGGCATCGGGTCGTTCCGGTGTGCATTCCGGACAGATTTGTATGGTACTGTAGGGCAGAGCTCGGGGATGGTATGGGCAGACTGTTCCGTGAGTCATGTATGGATGCAAATCAGTAGCTGATGGGAGAATGTCCCTACAGGTGGCCGCACCACACGGCTAGAGATGGACACCACCATCGAGAAGCCGAGCGAGAGTGAGCCAGTTGAGGTTGAGACAGCATGTGCAGTCCAGCGTGGTGACGCTGAAGTGAAGCTATTGAGCAGCAAGTTGGAGTTGGTAGAGCCAGATTTGAAGGTCAGAATTGAGAACGAGAGTTTTCCGGTGAGTCCATCTGTGAGCACCAGTCCGGTTGGAAGCAACCTGCTGCCTTCACGTGCAAGAACTGCTGTGTGGAGGCAAAAAGTCCACTCGGGAGTTGGCGCACCAGTGTTGGCTGGGCAAAGGATTTTGGAATTTCCGAGCCCGGCGATGGTGAGTCAGATCGCTACCGCCATTGGTCCAGGGCAGAGGGTGCCGTACGAGAGCTGTAAACCGGAATCCAGTCCTGCACTTCCAGGGACGCTTCCCGTGGCATATCGGTCGCTTCCTCCTGCGGCAGGGGTTATGGGCTTGACCCCGAACCTTTTGACTCCGTCGCCAAGTATCCTGGTGCCATCTGCGGGGGTGCCACCCTTACCGGCAAGCTTGTCCCTGTATCCACCTGGTTTGCCACTCACTTCAGCGGGGCATCGGCGGATTCCAGCAGCTCTGTCCAATTTGACTTCGGCTGCGGGATGTTCAGACCCTCTGGCTTCGACAAATTTATGTCGACTTCCAGGGAGAACCCCGCAAGCTAATGGGAGCAGCACAAAGGCGCGATCGGAGCACATGTGCCATTCGTCGAGGCAGAGTTGCTCTCAGTATTGCCTTCAGGGATACAAGCTGTGTCTGTGGCACATTCTGGAGGATCCTTCCGCCCCATACAAGCAGTGTGACTTCGCGGAGTTTCCTAGCCGGGAGCGCTGCCGTTTTCCTGTGTCACTGAAGTCCGAGAATACCAGGTGAGAGAGCGAGAGAGAGAGAGAGATAGAGAGGGGGACCCGCGATAGATATCCAGCTGCTCATACTACACATGGATTTTAGCATAAAGCAACTCGGGTGTCTTCATCAGTTGCAAAATGGCCTGGGGTGTCCAGTTTGTGTTGATGAGGTTACTGAATACGGTGCTCAAGTACAACCTTCTCTGGAAGTTGTAATGAACGAAGGAGTTGGTTTTGGAAAGTAGGCACTATCGGTTGATGAGGGACGAGTCCTCAAGCGTGGAAGCGTGATGCTTTCGTGGCTGTGCTTGGGGTGGTGGCGAGCCCAGCAGATGGAGTGGGGTGGCAAGGGCTTTTCTGAGACGTGTGTTGGTGGGATGTTGCAGGTTCTGTCAAATGCACAAGCAGGTGAAGGGGTTTACCATAAATCCTGTGACACTGAAGAACCAGCAAGCCATGGAGCGTCCTCTTTTGGGGGAATTCTCGGTGCTGGTGGTGGCAGCTGCAGTTGCACATCAGATGGAGATAGTAGCGCCTCCAAAGCTTTGGGCTTCAGTTGTGGTGAACCACGTATCAGTGGTTCCACCATCATGTGGAAGTGGGTCTGTGAAGGAGGAATATGGGGCGTCGATGTTTCAGAGATCTATAAGCGGGAAGAAGGTAGGCGCACATGTGCACGGCGATGTGAAGCCCGGGGATGTGCCGTTTGCGCGCACGAATTTGAAACCGGCTGTAAGGAGAGCGCAAGGTCGGTTATATTCTTTGTCATAGATGCGTTGACTGGCAATGTGGGGGTAGGCGAGGCGAATAGGTGAAGCCGCATGAAGTGGTGGTGGGTGGGCGTAACAATTTATTGAGCTCAGTCACGTCGCTGTGGGATTGTCAGTGTGACCTCTTCTGCATGATTTCCTAGAATGTTGAGCAGAGTATTTTCCGGGTACTCGCGATTTAGTTCGGGTAGTACAGTGGCCTGGTTTTTCCATTTTGTGTGTTTTATGTATCTGTGGCGGAAACGAAATCGATTCGGGGCGAGATTGCGTTCCACCGGAAAGGCTGATCCTGTTCTCTGAATGAACTCAAAGTTAGAATGGGTTGTGCATTGTGTGTGTCGTTGGGAATCAAATAGTTGGAATTTGCGAAGCAGTAGACGTGGTGATCACCCTGGGTAGAGGAGTCCACGTGGACAGCCGGTTTGTGTATTGTGGCTTTCCTGGGGAGACTTGATTCGGAGTCGAGCGTTGGTGGTTTTCTTTGTCTGAAGGTGGTGGTCGCTGTCGTTTGGGTGTGTGAGCAGGGGGCTTGCAGATGAAGGAGGATGGGAAAGGATTCGGCAGCGCACAAGGATCCAGCACGAAGGTGTGCGTGGAATGCAACTTAGACAATGGGAGTTGCAGGACAAGCGGTTGTGGATATCAGGATGGCACCTCGATGACCATCGCGCAGTTGAAGGTTGGGCCTGCTTCCACGAAGGTCGCAAGCGAGCTGGAGAATTTCCGTGCCCAGCTAGGGAACCGGCTAAGCAGCCACGGGATCTCTCTTCCGTATACGATGCCCAGTAGTGGGGGGAAGGTGGGCACAGACCAGGGATTGAGTGGTGGTGCTAGAGGGTTCCATCGCAGCGGAAGTCCACATGATGAGAAGCTGATTCGGCCGAGCACTCCAGGGCAGGTTTTCATGAACGGAGGGTGTGCAAAGCGGCGGGCACACGATGCAGCAAGTGTTCCGTGCTTGGTGGATATCGGGCCTGTAGAGCTGAACAGGGTAGGTTTGATGTGCAGTCTGCAGCAGGTTCCAGGGATGCTACAAGGGAAGAGGTCATATGACCAGCTGAGTATCCTGCCGACAGTCGATTTTGGAGGCCTGGACATGGCCACGATGGGAGTGCGGTGTGGGCCTCGAGAGCCTCGAGCTATTCCTGGTTTGGCTATCAAACGCAAGTCTAAGGTGCAGACCCCGAGAGACAGCTCTTCTATGGGTCGAGGCCAGGTAGGTGTTACTCAGGTCCACGTTTGCTGCTGGATTGTAGGATTGGAGTGTGAGCTTATGACGAGTGCCTGAAACGGTGCGAGGAGGAACGTGGATAAGGGGTTGGACAGAGACATGGTTTGTGAGGTATAGAGAAGAGCGAACCGAGTGACGAGTGTGTCCAGTGGCCAGCTGAATAGTCGGTTGTAGATTCGGTTGTTGTACGCATGGTTTGGGTGTTTGCAGTTGATACGTTAAGGTGAAGAGGTTGGATGCTTGTGTGCAGGGGCGAAGGGTGTTCTTCTCGCGATTCGTTGGAGTGAGGAAGCGACCGTGGGGAGCCTATGGGGCTGAGATTCGTACGCCAGAGGGAAAGCGGTTGTGGCTGGGTACATTCACTACGGAGGAAGCCGCGGCTCGGGCATATGATGACGCCGCGAGAATTTTCCGGGGTAAGAGTGCAGTGACGAACTTTGTGCAGGGTTCTGAATTCGACTTCGGGATGAGTTCTCCTTTTGCTATGGGGTCGTCTTCGACTTCTATGGAAGAAGATAATGCGAGTGATGGGTCGGGCGCGAGAATGCGCTCAGCATTGAACATGAAGAAGAAAGATGGGGAGGCAGGAGTTGTGACACTTGGGATCGTGCAGTCGAACCTTGGTAGTGGCGATGGCATGGGGGCGGGGAACAAGATGGATGGTTTTGGTAGTCCTGTGGAAACCTTGAACTTGTTAGGTGGTTTTGGAACGAATGGCAAGGAAAATGTGCAAGCACTGCGCAGTGCATCCGAGGGTCCTGGTCGGACGCCAAGCGGGCATTTGAAAGTCACAAGGGGGGTGGCAAAGGAAAGTTCGAGGCGTAAACAGTCGCAGAAGGTGACAGGTCGTGGAGGGAGTTCGAAGAAGGGCGAGGACTTGGGCGGGTTGAGGTGGCCAGAGGAAAGGCTGGATGAAGGCACGTCAGGACCGGATCGGCTGTTATTGTTGAGCAATTTCGCGATCAGGCATGAAGGGATGGAGATGGAGGAAGGGCCGGATTCTTGTAAGAATGAATCGAAAGAGCAGGGAGCAGGTGCAGGGTCAGGTGTGGCTGGAACGGATTCCGGGGACTCGGACGAAGAGTCGGATGGCCCATCAGATGCGGAGCTGGGACTGGATTCTGCCTCAGGGTTGCGGGTGAAAATGGAGGAGGACGTCGGGGGTAGGGAAAAGTCCGCGGAGCCATTCGTTTGTGCAGAACTGAACGAAGAGGAGAAACAGCAGCTGTTGGAGCTCGGGAAAGCGGACCCCGAGTTTCGGTTGACAGGGGTGCGCAAGTCTCAGTCAGGAAGATTCGAAGCCACGATTTATGACCGCACGATGAGGAAGAAAATATATGTAGGAATGTACAGTTCCATGCTGGAGGCTGCCCGTGCACGCGATCAGAAAGCTCTGGATCTGGGATCCATGTCCACTCTGAACTTTCCCGAGATGAGAGCTATACAGGTGAACCTCTTGTTGTGCAGAATCACGTGGGGAAGGAACTGTTACGACGTTGTGAGTGACTGCGAGTCACATTTGACCACTGGGTAGACTTGGTTTCATCCGTGGCATCATGGTAGTTATGTGGTGTTTAAAAGATCATTCGATAGTTGCACTGCTCCGGCGCGGATCACTGTGGTGTTCGTCGTGAGTGTCTCCGGACATCCTGGTGGTTGCAAAGGAGTGTCGTAGTCGGATCTTGTAAGTAGTGGTGATCAGTTTGGGCGTGAATCACGTGGTACTGAACTTCGTTGGCAGCATGTCCTGGTTGGGCGGTGTTGCATTTTGTAGCAGACTTGACCGATTTGGTGGGCATGCATCTGGGTTTGTCACGTGGGATTGCATAGCGGTACACATTTGTTAAATCGCACACATGGTTTGGGTGCATGGCGAGGGTCATAGGAGGAGGGGTCCCGGATGGTGATTCTGATAGCTTAACGGATTAGAAGGGGGCTGTCTTGGGCAGTGGCGATTCTGTACAGAACAGTGCGGTGTGTATTTAAGGATATGGTGTCACCCGTGTGGTGGTTGCAGGCCATGAGGAATACGAAGGCGGGTGGAGGAGGTAGTAAGAAGAAGTCGAAGGCTGAAGATATTGCGCAGTCGTTTAAAAAGATACGACTGGCTTCGCAAAGCAAGTCGGATACGGACACAAGGAAAGTTCTGAAGCGGAAGGTGCCGGATAGTGAGGAGAAGTCAGAGTCGAATAAAGTGAAATCTTTGAAATGCAAAGCACCGATGCCAAGGTTGGAGGGTTCGGAATTGAAGGCTTTTGACGGGAGTAATGCGATGGAGACGGATGAGGAAGATGCGTTGAAAGGTGAGAAGCAGGTGCCTGCGAAAGCCTCGACAAATTCTCCAGGTTTACTCCAAGCTGGTCGTGTTGGTCTTTGGATGTTGGGATGGTTGCGCATGGGCTTGTGCATGTCAGCTAGTGTTGCGCCTTTTGAGCTGAGGCGTTTGAAGCGATGTGGTGCTGGAAGTGCGGGTTGAAGTACTTGGGGCACAAGTATATGGGTTGTGTGCACATGCATGTGAGGCGCGATACTGACAGCGAATGCATGTGCACATGCAGCAGCTTCAAACAAGAAGGGCGGTGCAGCGAAAGCACCTAGAAGCAGCATAAGCTCAGGGCATGAGAAGTTGGGGGGCGAGGCTGCCGAAACGGCGTCTCACAAGGCGAAGCGGAAATCTGTGGAGTTCCAGAAATCGGAAATGGAGTCGGAGAAAGAGGCTCTGAAACTCAAGAAGCAGAAAGTGGAGGAAGCGAAGGAGGTAAGTACAGCCGTGAAGAGGCGACGTGCCCCTAGCGCGAAGGGCAAGGCAAATGGTGGAGCATCTGGTCAAGAGGCCTGTTCTACTACAAAAGAGGACGGAAAGGACAGCGACGGTGTGAAGCAGGAATCCGGCATGGTTGGTCAAGGAAATCAAGCAGGTCATAGAGCTTCACGGAAAAGCAACATACACAGGTTAGTGTCAAAGTCTGGAGGTTTTGTTTTATTGCTCAGGATGTGCGGAAGGCGTTTTGGTTTTGTGGCAGATGGTGATTTTTGCATTGTATATTTGCAGAGCCTTTGCGGATAGCTTTGTGGAATCTGACTACGCGCGAGTGTACAAGACAACATCAAAGCGGAGGGCCATGCTGGACAAGGTTGGGAGGAAGTCGGACAGCTCCTCTACGATTCCCAGCGCAGAGAAGAGCCCGGCTACTTCACCAAAAGAAACAACTCCGAATCCATCAAGGTCGCGGAAGGAGAGGAAATTTCAGGGGAGGAGGACGAAGCAAAGGGTAAAAACGGGGAGGAGAGAGGCGGATAAGGTCGCAAGAAGCCGCTGTTGTCGAAGTCAAAGTGCGCCCCTGCCCGTGACGAGAAGCAGCAGCCCGCGCGGTCTCGATCAGCGGGG